TACCTGATAAAGGGGTCGTATCCACACTGTATGGAGAATTCTTACAACTCAATAATAAAAAGACAATCTAATTTAAAAACAGGCAGAAGAGGGGCGTCTGGGTGGCTCAGTCAGTTAAGCGCCTGCCTTCGGCTCAGGTCATGATCCTGGGGTCCTGGGATCGAGTCCCGCATCGGGCTCCCTGCTCGGCAGGGAGCCTGCTTCTCCCTTTGCTTGCTTCTCCCTCTGCCTCTCTCGCTGTCTCTTTCTCTCTCAAATAAAAATCTTTTAAAAAAATTAAAAAAAGTAAAAACGGGCAGAAGATCTTTGTAGACATTTCTCCAAAGAAGACATACAGAAGGCCAACAGACACATGTGCAGATGCTCAACGTCATCAGTCACTAGGGAAATGCAAACCGAAACCAGTTCACACCTACTTGGCTACAAGAGAAAGGAGACAAGAATGAGCATCGTGAAGAGGAGGGAGAACTGGAACCTCATACGCTGCTGGCAGGTCAAACGGTGCAGCCACCTTGGAAAACAGCCTGGTGGGTCCTCACAGAGGTACACAGAGCTACCACGTGACCCCACAATTCCACTCCCGGGTACATGCCACACAGACACCTGTGCCCAGAGCAGCATCACATCACATTAACAGCCAAGAGGTATAAATAACTCAAATGTCCCTCACCTGATAAATGGGGGAATGAAACATGCCAGAGCCATATACCAGATATCGCATGGGCATTAAAGGGAGAAAGTCCCGATTATGATATGACTAACAGCTGCTTAGGGCTGGGAAGGACAGGGCAGGGGCGTGATGGCTAAGGGACGCAGAATTTCTTGAGATGATAAAACGTTCTACAACTGGGGTGGAAGCTGTGTTGTCTGTGAAGACACTAGAAGCGGCTCCATTGTATGCTGTGAGTGGGCAAAGTGTGTGGTGTGTGAATTAGATCTCAGGAAAGCTGTTAAAACAAACAGAGAAGAGCTGAGCAAACCCCAAACAGGCTGATCCCAGAGACATCCATGCCAAGGCACATCTCATCGAGCTTCTGGAAATGGAAGACAAAGGGAAAGAGCCTTCTCGTAAAGAAAACTCTAGGCCCAGAGGTCTCCTACTGGCAGATTCCACTGACCGCTTACAGAGGAAGTTAACACCAGTCCTACACAGACTTGTCCAGAAAACAGAGCAGGAGGGAGCAGTCTCCCACCTACTTGACGAGGTTGGCACGACCCCGACACCAACACCAACCCCAGGCAGATGCGACAAGAACACATGAGCGCAGACACAGGACTCCACACTCAGGATGGAATCCGCCACCACCAAACCACAGGGTCATCTTAATAGACGCAGAAAAGCATCTGACAAAAACCACCATCCATTTGTGATAAATACCATCCACGAATCAGGAACAGAAGGGAGCTCCCTTAGCTTGCAAAGGACACTGCAGAAAACCTTCAGTAAGTACTATAGTGAAAGGCCAAGACCGAATGCTTTTCTCCTAAATCAGGAATGAGGACGGGCTGCCCACGCTGCCCACTTGCGCACCGTGCTGGCCACACAGTAGGTTGAGAAACAGTAATACAAGGCACTTATCTACAAGTGTTGGAAAGGAAGAAACAAAACCATCTCTTGTTGAGACATGACTGTTTATACAAGATTCCACAGCATCACAACCAAATTACTAAAAGTGAGTTTAATAAGGTTGTGGGGTACAAAACGCAAAACTGAATTCTATTTCTACATCCTGCTAACAATCGGAAATTGAAATTTTTAAAAAGTATCATTTATAATGGCCCCCAAACAATCAAATACTTAGGAGTAAGCCTCACAAAATGTGCAGGATCTGTAGGCTGAGAGCTATAAAATACCTATGAGAGAAAAAAAAAATCAAAATAATTCAGAGACTTATCGTATTGTCAGATCAGAAGGCTCAGTGCTGTGAAGGCTGCAATTCTTCCCAAATGGACATACTGATTCCACAGACTTTTAATCAAAATACCAGCAGCAAGTGACAGAATCGCTACAACAACTTTGAGAAGTAACAAAGTTGGAGGACTCACGCCAGTTTCCAGACTGACGGCAGAGCCAGGGTCATCAAGGGGGTGTGGTGTCGGCCGAACGGACAGACACACATCAGTGGAGAAGAACAGACCCGCAGACGTGTGGTCAATTCATTTCCAGGAAAAACAGTCCTTTCAACAGATTGTCCTGAAACAAGGGATATCGATATCCCTTTCCAAACTCCAAATGCAATACACGCTTACACACAAAACGTGAAACTGTGAAACTTCCAGCAGCTGGAGGGGAATCTTTGTGACCTCGGTCAGGCAAACTTTCCTTAGACCTGGCATCAAAAACATGATCCGTAAAAGCGATAAAATCATAAATCGGACTTCACCAGCATAAAAAATTCCCGGTCTGTGAAAGATAATGGTAGGAGAACGAAGATAAGCCAAAGAATGGGAGGAAACCTTTGGAAACACATCTTTGGTATAAGGGATTTGCATCCAGAAAGTATAAGGAACTCTCCAGTTTTAGCAATAAAACCAGCAGCCTCCCCGGGGCCCCCTTCCGCAGAGAACACGTGTGGTAGCTGGTATGTACCGGACGCCCACGTCTTTAGCCTTTAGGAGAAGGAAGAGTGAACCACATGCGACACTGCAGGCCGTCAGATCTGACAACACCCAGGCTAGTAAGGCCGACGGCCTCATTCACTGCAGATGGCGCGGGCGTTCCGGGTAAAGTCCCCCAGACAGTTATTGTGTATGTGGTAATCTCACGGAGTGAGAAACTGACGTGCATGCCAAAATCTGTCTGTGAACCTTTACAGTGACTTCAGTCCTCACTGCCAAGCTGGGAATGATTCAAATTCCTACCCACCGTGGCAACTGACTATGCCACTGAGAACCACGCAGAGGCTGGAGGAGCCGACCCCAATGAACACGGGTGCACGTAGAGCAGTGTCGCTGGGGGGGTGCAGCCAGCACTGCAGGTCTCTGTTCACCGACTGCGGTGGGCAGGGAGAGGACAGCGTGTGCCCGCGTGCACCTGTCCTGGACCGGAGGAGTGCACACCGGCACGGCTGGACTCTACCATACAGAAAGGACAGCAATAAAAAGCTCATCTAATTCCCGTGTCTACATTGAGTGCTGCTGGACGCCTCCCGAGACTGGGCTGAGAATCTGGTCAGGCCTTTTCCCGGGACTAGAGCCTGTTCCCTAGGACAAAATGTTGCAGGTGTCCGGCAGCTCTCCTATTTGCCAGGATCCCGAAGAAGTTACCTTTTACGGTCTCCTGGGACAGGGTTCACCTCAGTCTGGAAACAACTGGAAAATTCTACCTAGATTCTAGTGAGCTACCCTGTGTCTTGGGCTTCCAGTCACTCTGACCTCGTCTGTCCTTCCTCCAGAGTGAAGACCGCTCTCCTGTTAGCACAGCAGCCCCAACCCACAAGCAAGGAGTCTACTCTGTTCTTGGTCGTCTGTTCAGAATATACTGCAGTGACGGGTTTTTTGTGGGTTTCTAGACCTTTCGGTGTCTTTGGCATTTTTTCAAAATTCTTCCTGATAACCGTTCTTTGAAACAAAGCACATCGAATACTGACTCTCAAGCAAGCTATTCACTCTCTGCTCCTCTTCTGGAGAACCGGAACGATTCTACCTAGGGCACGAGTGGCCGTGGCAGGAGCTACTGTGCATGCCTAGTTTGGCGCCTAGCACACGGTAGGTCATACCGCATGTTATGTTCGTGCTAGACCTTTCACGTTTCGAGTTCTCCGGCAGAATGGCCGCCGCGTTGACTTCGATGTTTACGTTCTTCCTGCTCCCTCCCTGCGCCCCGCTGGGGCAGCTGCAACTGTCCCTGCTTCCTCTAAGCACCACCCCCACCACCATAGAACAAATTACCTGTGCAGATGAAGCTATCCCGTCTCTCCATTGCTCCTGTCCTTCCAGTGGCCTCCTCATGCATGTGGGGCCCGACAGAAGCTGGCCGATGGCCGTGCGCTGACCAAACTCAGTGCAGATGCCCTCATCCCCTCCCTTGGACACAGGGACCCCTTCCCTGCCTGGATCCAATGGTCCCCGTCATTTGCCTACTGGACCAACAATCTGCATTTAGAGATCAAACCCTCGGGGAAACTCGTGCTGCTTATGGCACCCGCAGGCCCCCAGGCCGCACTGAACCGCAAGCTCCGAGGCAGCGGGGAGCACGCTGTCTCTCTGCTGTAATCTAGAGCAGCCCCTGCACGCAGAGGCCCCAGAGTCTCTGTCACAGGACAGTTCACACAGGCTGGCGACAGGCAACGGGAGTAAGACATGGCAGGGATACGTCAGAACTGGGCCGAAATATCCCCTCACAAGAATGTTCATCACAGCATTACTTAGAACAGTGAGAAATGAGAATCCCAGAAGTCTCACAATGTGGCAACATGTTTTATGAAGCAACCTATGACAGATATTTCCATTAAAATTAGTATCTTAAGGGGCGCCTGGGTGGCTCAGTGAGGCGTCTGCCTCTGGCTCAGGTCATGATCTCAGGGTCCTGGGATCGAGTCCCGCGTCGGGCTCCCAGCTCAGTGGGGAGTCTGCTTCTCCCTCTGCTCCCCCGCCCCCTGCTTGTACACACACGCGTGCTCTAAGAAAAAAAATTACAATCTTTAAAATTAATATTTTAAGAGTATATAAGGACATGAAATAATAATGAGATAAGTAAGAAATGGGTAGAACAGCGTGTATAAAACCTCAGTTTCTTCAATAAGAACAGCCATCTATATGCTTGTGGGGCTGGAAGAAAATATTCCAAGGTAACGTCACTGTCTTAAATACCATCATCAAAATCTCTCCTTTTTTAAAAAACGTTTCCTGCGTTGTCCACATCTTTCATAAAAGACGTATCTTTATAACGAGAGAACTGTCCTAAATAACTGAGACGTGTCACTCTACGTCAGACGGCTGTGAGCACAGAGCCCTCAGGAGGAAGTCTGTGGCCTCTGTGGTCCCGGGGCCCCGGTTACCTGGTTGTTGACGACCACGTGGACGGTGCCGTGAGTCGTGTAGGAGGGCAGGTCGCTCAGGTGGAAGGTCTCATACACGATGCCCTGGCCGGCAAAGGCGGCGTCTCCGTGCAGAAGGATAGACATGACCTGCAGACGTGCAAAGGAGACCCCAAATGCAACACAGCCCCACCCACCACGGCCACAAGGCCACACCAGAGACTGAGTCACAATCTGCTTTTCCAAAAATAATGCATTTTGAGATCATTTCAAACTTAGAAACAAAAACAAAGTGGCAGGAGAACACATGACCCCCAGACCCCGCCTGGGCCCTGCCTTGCGCCATTGGCACACCTGCCACTCGGCCACCGTCTGCTGCAGAGCCTACAGACACCATGCTGGACAGGGCCTGTGGGACCCTCCTGGCAGGGGGGCAGCGCTGGCCACGTTTTATCATCCTTGCATCCAGGGGCGGGGCAGCCCACTGCCTCTCCTGTCTCCACAGCCCGGATAGGCCTTCGTGACCACACCCACAAATGGCGCACTCCACACCGGGAGACGCCCCAGCTGGCCTGCCCCACGCCAGCAGGCCTCCCTGTGTTCCTGGACAGTGTCTCCCTCCCACTCACTATTCCCCCTTGGTCATGAGAACCTCTGTCTGCTCCTTACTAGCCCCCGCCCGGCAGCAGCAGCAGCAGCCTCTCCTGGGTGCTGCTAGGTGTCCCTCCTAAAGGAATCTGCAGGTGTTCTGCAAGAGCCTCCCCTTCTTGCCTTTTATTTGCATTCATGTGTGCTCACGGTTCCTATTCTATTCAGTCGGCCGTAACTGACTTCTATCACACTGTGCGGCTCCCATCGTCCCCGTCCCACATTCAGCGTGGGGACCCCGTGTCATCTGGACGGTGGCCCCCGCACAGCCTGGAAGGAGACACTTCTCCAGGAGCCTGCTTGCAGGGATGGCCAGGGAGACCAGCCTGCGCACACAAGTGATGCTCAGTGTCTGTGTCCACGGGAGAACGCGATGCTGTCGTGCGCAACCCAACTCTGTTAAGCGCCATCCTCCCTCTGCATCCACGGACACCTCCCGCACTGCGAGACACTGCTCCCGCTGCCCCTACTCCCGGAAGCCCTTGTGTGTCCCCTGCCAGGAGGGGAGGGTCTACCGTGTCCTTTCCGGGGACAAAATGGAACCCTGCGTGTCCTGCCTCTGGCCGCAGGGATGCTCACTGGGATAGGTTTATGCAGGGGCCTCCTCGGAGGAGCGGGTAGGAAGGCCACGGGGAGTCTTGCCAGAGCCTTCTCTGCACACGCTCGGCCTCCCGCTGTCGGGCACTTTGGGCAGCCTCCCGTCTGGACCTCCTGGGGAAGCCACACTGGGGCCCTCGCCGAGGCTCCCTCAGTGCGGTGCTCGGTGCTGACACCATGGGGCCTGCCGCTCCTTGCGTCTGATGGCACCCCAGTGAGCGGGCCGCCCTCCTGCACCGGGGGCTGCTTCCCCACAAACACCCCAGGGCCCAACCGGGTCAGGCTCCGTCTTCTCCCAGGTCACAGAATAACCCTGGTCCCGTGTACAGAGAGTACATAAGTTTTCTGAAATGTGGAAGGTCACATAACAGACTCCAGCTCTCTGAGTTTTCAGTTTAACAGAAATCAGCTAATTGCTGGGGGTTCTGGACAAGCAGCAAGGAGAACAGGCATGAAGGACTGTGGGGTCGGGATCCACGGCTGGGGGCGGGCGAGGGTCGGAGTGGCTCCTACACAGAGGTGGGTGCTCCAGGGGTGGGCTTTGTGCACCAGGAAAGAGCCCTCCTGAAAATGAGTGCCTGGTGAGCACATGGGGCTAACCAGCCTGTCCTGGCCTCCTGTCTCATGGCGGGACTGATGGCTGCCATCACCTGGAGCATGCTCAACGTCCTTCGGCTTTCACCTAGTGACTTGTTGCTTTCCAGGACGTGTCCAGCACTCTGAGCGAGCACTGCTCGAGAGGCTTTTTGTCTCACTTACAAATGAGGACATCGCACAGACTTTCCTGCAATCTCGTTCCCCAACCTGGCTCCACATGTTGTGTCCTAGCCGAGGACGACGGGAGTGCTAGAGGTCCTGGTGACCACCACCACCCCCTGCAGCCACCGTGTCATTGCTGCTCCCCGGGCCCGCCCGGGAGGCCCCCCTCCACCTGGAGCATGACCTTCACATTCTGACATGCTCACCGCTCCCCGTGGGCCAGGCCCTTTCTCTGCGAGGGCGGGGGTGCCCGTCAGTGCAGGAACCACTTCCAGCCCCGATGCAATGCCTGGCCCAGACCCATCACCGCTGACCCATTGCCGCTGACGGCAGTTTCCCGGGTCACTCTCTGAGCGCAGAACTAGCAGACCCATGGTAGTTAGAATTATGGACCTTCAAATAAGCTAACGCCTGGCTCCACCTCTAGAGAGTCTGCCTCCTCTAAGGGCACCCCCAGGCCAGTGCACCCCGCTCTGCCCCCAGCACCCCAATCTACCTGCACCTCACCCGCGTCTTTCACCTCCAGAGAAGGTTCTTATTTGCAAGCCTGGCTTCACTCCAGGTGTGATGACGGGAGTGCCCCACCCCCTGCCCGGCTCTGGAACTCACGCTGGGAGGGAGCACCTCTGCAGGCGCGACTGGGTCACTATCTAGGACTCTGCCCAAGTCTGTTCAGAACACTTTGTTTGCGTCCCGAGGTGGAAGACATGACTGGGGCTCGGAGCCCGTCCCGGACACTGTGGCCTCAGGGCTGCCCTGGCCGGCCCCCACGGCCTTACCTTCTTCCCTTCTGTGTCCCCGCAGTAGAACTGCTCCGCCTTCGTCTTGCCCATCACCACGGGGTCGGCGGCCTCGAGGTGGGAAGGGTTCGCCACCAGTGACAGGGTGATGTTCCTGTCGGTCACGCGGTTGATCCGCCGGTGGTACATCCCCAGGTGGTATTTCACGTCCCCAGAACCCTGACACACAAACATGGGGCTTTATCCTTGGAGCGCGGGAGATGCTCAGGCTTCATGACGCCTCTGCTCTGTGCTATTTCTATTCCCAGAACCCCCATTCCTGCAGGTGTGGGAAGGTTTTCCCCCAGATGGCTCCCATCCATGGCTACGGGAGAAGGGCCTTGCGCCCAGTGGGAGGACTGTGAGCCGGTGGCCACCACCTGTGTGACGGTGTGGAGGCCCCCGGCCTGCTGAGGGCACAGCTGTCCTGAGCGACAAGTGGAGCTGAGGGTCTTGGGTGGGTTTCTCGAGAAGAAACCAGGTGCCTCACCTCATCAGCGGCTTCCAGCTTGGAATCGAACTGACAGAAAATCTGTTCCAGCTCCTTCCTGATGACGTTGGCAAGCACGTTGAGCCGCCCCCTGGGACACAGAGGGGGGTGAGCCCGAGGCCACGGCAGTGCGAGGAAGGCAGGTGGAAAACAGGCCCGTGGGGAGCGCTCTGCCCTCAGCCTTGGCTGGGGCCCCACACGATGGTGGTGGGGTCTGCGGGGACGGTCACCGGGACGGCGGGCGCGTACCTGTGGGGCATCCCCATGATCACGTAGTCCACCCCGTTCTCACTGGACTTGTCGATGATGGTCTTGAGCGCAGGGATCAGCACCTCGCACCCTTCCAGACCGAAGCGCTTCTCAGACGACCACTTTCGCTGCAGGAAATCCTCAAACCTGGCCAGGGACCATGTCACGTGGGCCAGTGCCACTTCCAGGGCCGTGGCATCCCACACTCCCGTGGAGAGATGGCACAGCACGATGCCCAGCCCTGCCCCTCCCCGCACAGCCCGCACCTGGTGGACCGCACGAGCCTGGCCAGCAGGGTCCGCTTCTCCTCACTGGTGAACTGCATGACCCCGGGCGTCTCGAACTTCTGCCGGATCCACTGGCACTGCTCTAGGTCGTTGATGAACATGAACTCCACCCCGATGTGCTGACAGTAGGCCATCTGTACACACACACACACACCCGTCAAGGGTTGCTCACCCCAGGGGATTGACTGCCTATCCAGCCAGAAAGCTGGCGGGAATGGGGGCCTCCCTTTCAAAGCCTGCGGAGCCAGCTGGGACCCGGGGAGGAGATGGGGTTGGTGCCAGGCCTGGGCCTGCAGCCTCCTCACTCCCAGCAGGCCCACAAGACGCTTCCGCGGGTCACACAGCCCAGCGAGCAGGGAGGGGACAGCAAGAACCGAACCGTGAGGCCAAGGCGCTTTCCTTTGTGGCAGGAAGATGGAGGCCCCGGCCAGGGGATGGATGATTCTGGGAAGCCAGCTTCCCTGACCTCAAGGTTAGACCGTGGCCAGCGCCACGAGAAAGGGACTGTGCTGCTGGTGGGTGACAGAGCTCGGTGGCCACTTAAGATTTGCAGGTGTTTGGATTTTAAATTCTGCTTTAAGTGAGCCCTCTTGGGAAGGCTGGGTCCTACAGAAGTGTGACTGCACACATTACAAAACAGAAGGCCCTGAACAGAGCAGGTGTATCCCATCCATGGCACTCCCGTTACAGCTGGGAAGGAGGCCGTGTGTCCTGTGGGAAGCACAGGCTCAGTGGAAAGGAAGCTGAAGTGGGAGAGGACAGGAAGGCCACACGAGTGCTCGGCCGCAGGGTGGGGGCCTTTGCAGGGGCCCATGCCTTCCTGAGGCAGGTGACCTGGGCCCCTCTTCTGCCTCCACCCACCAGCCGTCCAGGGTGACAGCAAACCCCAAATCAGCACCAGAGTTAAAGAAGGAAGCACCCTGATATGGCATAGGGAGGTTTTATAAACCCCAAAACCCTCTCCAGCAGCCACACTGTCCAAGCACTCAGACTGCCAGGCTCTGCTCAGAGGGTCCGTCTGTGCTCCGTTGGTTTTCATGACAGACATGGAATCGGCTGGCAAGGTGCAGTGCGGGGGTGTGCCCTTCAGAGCAGGGGTGGGCATCTCTGCACGTAGCTCCACGATTACGAAACAGAGGAAAGTCTGCCTGAGCTCACAGTAACCACCAGGAACTACATGCGCCATCATCCTGGCCAGGAGAGGAGGATCTCGCCAAAGGACCAAGAGGAAGCGGAGCTGGGAAGGGCCTGGGTTCTTCTATGACAACATCTCAGGTGACAAACCGGGAGCAAGAAGCCTGGGGGATGGGCCTGCTGGGCTGTCCTCACTGACTTCCTGGCTTCAGAGTCAGCAACAGCCCCTGCTTCTGCCTGAGCTTCACGGTCCCAGATCCACTGAGCCACAGAACCACTCGGCCCAACCGGAGTGTCTTGTTAACAGGAACCCTCCTCCATCAGCTTAAAAAAGGTTTTCCTGGGGCCTGAATCTGAGCTGCAAGGCCAGGATGGAGGGGAATGAGATGGAGGGGAGAGCAGAGGGAGGTGGAAGGGAGTGGGGAGGAGAAGGGACCGAGGGAGGACAGGAGGAGAGGCAGGCGGAGAGAAGGGATGGGAATGGGGAGGGAGGGAGGGGGCAGGGGG